CATGGGCTTAACAACATGGATTTCCCTCCCCAAGAATGACATGGTTACAGCCAGCCCTGCATACCAATTTGCCAACAGCAAAGGAGCCTCCAATATGGTGCACTTCGTGACAGACTTTTATTCTGAATTCCTTTCACCATGAAAAGGGGCAGTGATTTATATTCTGGATATGGATTTGCCTTTCCTGTCTATAACACTTCTGGCAGCATTCACTTACCATTAGTGAACTTACAGAATGCTTTATCCACCCCTAAGTGTTCTGGAACCAAGGAGTAAAGGTGAGAATGGCCCCTCTCACTATTATACTTCAAAAACTTCAAAATCTCTGAAGGAATGGTTGCTTCCCATCTCCTGAATGATGAGTTTTCAGATCCCAGTGCTCAAGGGAGGAAGGCTTTCACTGCAGTCACAGTTATGTTAAACTGGAAGTTGAGACTACCACCTGATCACTTTGGACTCCTCCTGCCACTGAACCGATAGACAGATACGGGTGTCGCTATATTAGCCACAGTGATTGATTCCAATTACCAGGGGGAAGTTGAGTTGCTGCTATAAAATGAGGGCAAAGAAATGCTATAACTGAACCAAAGGGATGAACTTGGGTTCTTTGTATTCTCTTTTGCAATAGTACCTATTCAATAGAAAACTACAGAAACCAAATAAAGCTGGGAACATCAAAGACTCTGATCTGGCAGAAATAAAGATTTGGCTGAACCCACTGGTTCAAAAATCTCATGCAGTCAAGATGCTGACCAAGGTAAGAAGACCATGAAATGAGTGGGAGAATAAGGAAGTTGCAATTATCAACTTAGGTCTCAGGACCAGCTACAGAAGCAGGGATTGTAGCAGCTGTGTTTAAAGTAACTTGGCATGGAAGTTTCTTTTTTTCTCCCATTTCTTTTCCCTGCACTTTATAACAGGAGCACTGGCTTTGGACAATGTTTTAGGTTTCATATGAGAGCATGTCTGAATTAAGGGATGTGTGCGTCGCTTGTCATAAGGGTACAAGGTTTTCATCCAAACGAATGACAAGAGTGGAAGCTAGGATTAAGCTAGATAGTCCCCATTTTCCCATCCATATTTACGCTCCATCATTCTTCACCCTGCTCTATGTTCCCAGGTTGATGTCATTGGACCGCATGAACCGGAGGTCCTTGCTCACTGACTCCTGGTTGAATTTGGCCAACAGTAGCTATTGGCAAGAGATCAAAGGGCAAAAAAGGAGAGAGGTCAAGGTGTGTATTCCTCTGGCGCCCTCCCTGACCATCTGTGAGTTGACAAAAGTCTATATTCTTTTACCTGTCCATACCTTTATAAATAGTTCCTTCATTAAACTCTTCTTATTTACTCTGATTGAGTGTGCCCTCTGGTTCTAGCCAAGTTCAAGACATCAGATTGTACACAGCTGAAGGGAAAATTACTAACTGGAATATAGTTCAAAATAAAATATCCAGAATGAAGTATAAAGAGACAAAAAATGGAAAATACAAAAGATAAGGTAGAACCATAGAAGATACCACAAGAAACTCTAACATATATCTACTTGAAGTGCCACAAATAAAGGAGCAATAAAATGGGACAGAATCAATGTTTAAAGAAATAATACCTGAGGATGCCTCAAAACTGATGAAAGACATCAAGCCACATATTCAAGAAGCTCTTTGAATCTCAAAGAGAATAAATTAAAAGAAATCCCTCCCTAGTCACAACCTAGTAAAACTGTTGACATAGACAGGTGACCTACAAAAGAGTAACAATTATGCTGACAGACGATTTCTCCCACAACAACAACAAAAAAGTGGGAGAAGGGGATCAAGTGAGCAGATACCTCAAGTTTGCCCCTAGGATCCATTCTCCATCTCTCTTCACCTTGTTTTCTGTCCCAAGAGGCTGACCTGTATGGACTACTTCAATGAGCTCCCTCTTCCTCTGGATTCTGGTTAGGTTAGGACAATGGGAATACCTAGAAGGAGATCAGAGGGAGGGAATGAGGAGAGTGAGGAGAGGGTATTTATTTCATCAGCTTCCTCCCTGTGAGGTTGTTACTGCCTGTCTGCTTCCCCCAACACACATGTGCAACAGGAATCATGTACAAGAGTATACATAGTCACACTATTCACAATAACCCAAGATTGGGGATAATCCAAAATCTGTGTTTCTTTGCTTTTTTTCACAGTTTTATAACCTAAGCATGCATCCTTAGGTTCTAAAGACAAAATAAACTACCAAAAGTTTTAAACATATTCATTGTTTTATTAGTAGAGTAAGGTTATTATTTGTAAATTATTGTATGCATATTGTAGGATTAAACACATAAGTGATTGGGGGCCGGCCTGGCAACGTAGTTGTTAAGTTCACGTGCTCCGCTCCTGGCGGCCCAGGGTTCACGCTTCTGGCGGCCCGGGATTCTCGGGTTCAGATCCCAGGCATGAACCTACATGCCTCTCATCAAGCCACGCTGTGGTAGGGCTGCCACATAAAGTGGAGGAATATGGGCACGGATGTTAGCCCAGGGCCACTCTACCTCAGCAAAAAAAGAGAAGGATTGGCAACAGGTGTTAGCTCAGGGCTATTATTCCTCACAAAAACAAAACAAAACATATAAGTGATCATATTAATGTCATTAGAAACCAAATTTTTGCGTGAAAGAATAAAGAGATACAAGCATAAAATCAAGAGTTCAGTAAAAATCACAGTTAAATTTTAATTGACAATATCAGTGTGTGTGTGTGTGTATCTTAATATCCTAGCTCTGTGCACTGAAAGGGCCTAGAAGCAGCATCATCTCAGTAGCCACTATCACCCCTGAAACTCAGATTGCAGTCTTTAAAATCAGTCCTTACTAAAAGATATCAAGTCTCTTTGGAAGAGCGGCTGCTTCCATGTCTAGGGCAGGGAATAAAAAAGATAAACCTGGAACATCTTGGAGTGATAGAAAGCAAGGAAGCTGTCAGTGACTAATGGGATGTTTCAAAAAGACACCAGATCCCATTTAAAGGAGTTTTCACTGATTTACTCTGGGACAATTTGAGCATCAAAAAGGATAATTACTGGGATTGATTGATACACATTGAATATATAAAAATCCATACTTCCATAGTAATGTTCAATCAAAAAATCATAAAAATACTTTTAAAAATTTATTTGCCACTGTAGGAGGTAACTATTATACCAACTCATTACTTGGCAAATTGGTAACTAAACAGAAAAAATTAAGAATGTATGTTACCTTTCCAGTTGGAATTGTATTTCTTGGATAACTAAGCCCAAATGATGACAGAAAGCTCTTCTTTACAAAGTAATATCAACTAATAAATGTTAAAGGAACAATAAAATTAGAAAAATCACCACTTTGTAACCTCTAATGAAATAATTTAGGCAAGGATCATCAATGAATGGCAAAACTACTAGGTGAAAAGTTGACGGGAACTAGATATTCTCACAATGCCAAAATATCATCCCATAGATTACAGACTGGTCACAAGAGGAAAACATAACCTTACCTACAGCACTCTGGCTGCCTTTACCTTAAACCAGTGATCAATTCTAGTGTCACTAATAGTAGGACAGCCAGACATTATGCATTTTCGGAAATGACACAATTGGAAGCATACAGCATCAACTATAAAGAATTGTGCTTTAAAATTTTTTTTAACCTGATCCAATCAAGACTCTAGATAGAACTTCTAGTTTACAGGAAATACAGGGGATGTACAGGATACATACAGGGAAAATGCAGGAATATATATCATGACGAAACAATCAGGCAAATCCAGAGGGTGAGGAGATGTAAAGAAAAATTGACCTGGTCTCTTCAACAAGACAATGTGAAAAATGGGAGAGGAGCGGGGAGGAGCCGTGTCTATGCTGATTTAAAGAGAATTAAGAAACATAACCAAATGCAATGGTGGTCTTTGATTGACTCCTATTTTGAACAAAACAGCTAAAAAAGGCAATTTGGGGAAATAATTTGAGAAATTTGAATATGAACTGAGCATTAAATGATACTAGAGAATTATTGTAAACGTTGGTAGATGTTATAATGGTATTTTGGTTACACGGGGAAACGTCTTTATTTCTTGGAGATACATATTGAAATATTAATAAGGGAAACATGTCTATCATTTACTTTTAAATATTAAAAAGAAGCAAATATGGCAAAATATCAATAACTGTCAAGTCTAGATGATGAGTGTATGAGTATTTACTCTGCACTGGTATCTTTTTTTGTATTTTGGAAAAATTTTACTGAAAAGCAAGAAAATAAATTGATCAAATTTGAACTTGAGAAAGCTCACTCACGAGCTTATGGAGTGACAAGAGTGGAAGCAAAAGACTAGTCAGATGATTACTGCAATATTCGCGATGAACGAGCACAGTGGCTTAGACAGGGAAGCGAGTATGGAGAGAAGTACACTGATGGGAGGTATATTTTGCAGACAGAAACCATAAGATTGTTGATAGGCTCTTGGTGGGAGAGGGCGACAGAAAGGAGAGTCGAGGCTAATAACAAAAGCGAGTATGTAGCAAGTGTTTCGTCTATGCCTGTGCAGTCAAAGTCCTAAGTGATCCACATGAGTTTAACTCATGTAACCTTCACAACCACCTTGAGAGGGAGGTACTATTAACACCTCTCTTTTACAGATGAGGACACTTGGACGCAGTGAGGTTAAGCAACTTGCCCAAAGCAGCACCTCCAGGAGGTGGCATTGCTAGAACTGGAATCCAGGCACACACGCACAACCATTCCTGCTCTTAAGGATGACGCCGGTACCATTAATTGAGATGCGTAAGAGTACCTATTCTGGCTCCTCATCTTAGGGTTTATACTAGCCCACTCACGTACCTTTCCCGGCCCCCACCCAGTTGAACCCTTTTCGCCAACCCTGGGACTGAGTGATAGAGGTGGTAGTCCTTGCGGAGAAGCGTATGTCGAAAGAAACGGGGCCAGCGCGAATTCTAGTGAGGCGCTTACTATTTGGTGGAGGAGGGAAGGGGTGGGTAGGTCCCCCGCTAAGACGGTGCTTTTACGTCACGCATGACGCAAATAAGCGTAAGAGCCGGGGGTGGAGATGTCGTCACCACCCGCCCTGGGTTAGCCAAGTTGCCGCGAGAGGGGCGTATAGACCCCGCCTCGTAGGTGGGTGGGGAGTGGCAGGCTCCGCCTTGGCCCCTCTGGCAAGCTCCGGCCAGCGTCGCTGCGGCTCTGGCAGCGGAGCCAGCGCGCGGAGCCTGGAAGGATGCGGCGCCTGCGGCGGCCTGGGGGTCCCGGGGCATCCGGGGGTCTCCGGGTGCTCCTCTGCCTCCTGCTGCTGAGCAGCCGCCTGGGAGGCTGCAGCGCCATTAGTGCCCACGGTCAGGAGGAAATGGGGGGTAGGGGGATGGTGCCGGGAGCAAAACTCAGTGGCAGGTGGGGGGCAGTGTCAAGACGGTAGGAAGCTCAGGTAGAATATGTGTGGAGTGGGGTAGGGGGAGGCACTGTGAGACGAAGAAGATGAGAGGGTGTCTGAGAGGAAAGGGGCGTAGGCCTGGAGGTGGGGCTGGGAATACGAGGGCGGGACCTAAGAGAAGCGGGCTCAGGGGAAGATTGCTGGTTTGGGAGGAGGAATGGGGGTGCATATGGCCAGAGGGACTTAGAGAGGGGTTGCAAGACCAGGGGAGAAGCAAGTCGCACCGGGGCGCCAGAGAAGTGGTGACTGGAACTGAAGGATGGAGGCGGGGGGAAGGAGGGAGAGGGAACCCTGATCTGGCAGTAGGAGACCGTGGCTCGAGCATCAGGGTCCCAGCTCCCAGAAGAGGATCAGGCCGAGGGAGGGGCCGGGTTTTTCTTTAAGCCTAGAGAGGCCAATGGCTGCTATCTGATTTCCAACCAGGGGGGGACATAAGGGGGAGGGGGCAGAAGAGGGTGAAGAGGGAAGGGTCCTCTCCCGTCCCCCTCCCCACAGTCAGGCCCTGCGCTGACTCACATCTGAGCGGACAGAGACAGTCAGCGCTGACTCATGGGCCGGGGGAGAGTGGGGGCGGGGGGCGCGTGGGGGAAGGGGCGCAGCCTCTCCGTCTGGCGCCCTTCTTCCCCACCGGGCTTGGAGGCCAAGGCAGGATACTTCCTGTGGCGCTGTGGGTTGGTAACGTGGCAGATGAAGTCTGGAGCGGCGGAGGGGTCAGATCTTGTGGAGACTCCTTGCCCTGTCACCCCTCCCTCCCCCATAACTGCTTCCAGGCGAGCCCTCGGCGGCGCCAGGCTCAGCGCTTCAGCACCGCGGACAGCGCCAGCGGCAATGGGGCCGCGGATAGTAGGGACCGTGTGGGGAGCATTGCCTTAGAGACACCCACATTTACCCTTTCCCACACGGAGGGGAGGTGTGCTAGGGTTGCCATCTCTTCTGAGTCCCAGGCCATCATAGTTAGGATGCTTTTGGAGATTTGGGAAAGAAATCCCCTTTTCCCTCAGAATTTGGCCCAAAACTCCGCCATAGTAATTCTATGAGAGTAGAAGTATATGATCCTTCACCATCACCACCCCCATGCACCTGGGAGGCTTCTTCTCTCCACCACTCGGTTAAGCAAAGTGAGGCTTTTAGAGAAAGGATCCAGAGTCGCAGATCCTTGAAATCCAAAACCAGATCCTGTGCTTCCTTTTCTTAAGAATTCTAGGCCTCTTCCCTACTCTCCTCCCAGCTTAAAGCCTTCCTTAGAATGAAAGAATGGACCCCATCTGCTTCCCTGTTTCCCAGCCTGTCCATCCATCTGACCGTTCTATGTGTGTGGCTGTCTGAGCGTCTGTTCACCTGTCCCTCTACAGGCTGTCTGTTTGACCGCAGACTCTGCTCTCACCTGGAAGTCTGCATTCAGGGTGAGTGAGGCCCAGGCACAGGATTTACAAGACCGGGGGACACAATGAGAAAGAAGTGTGGGGGAAGCCTGGAAGGGAGAAGGGGTACTGGCCTTGGGGAGATGGGGGACTGGCCTAGAGGAGCAGAGCTCCTTGAAGCCAGGAGAGGAGATGGAGAGAGTGCTGCCTATTTTCAACCCGGACTTTGGAAGGCCTCTTGTCCAAGCCCCTTGCTGACACCACTTTTGTGCTCTTAGATGGCTTGTTTGGACAGTGCCAGGTGGGAGTGGGGCAGGCCCGGCCCCTTTTGCAAGTCACCTCCCCAGTTCTTCAACGCTTACAAGGTGTGCTTCGACAGCTCATGTCCCAAGGTGAGGTCTAGGTGCATTGGAGGAGAGACATTGGGATTGGTTAGATAAGGGTGGGGAAGTGAGGAGCCACCTGACTCAAGGCTTTCTGTTCATGAAACATTCTTATCACACCCACTCTGAAGCCTCACGTTCCCAGACTTTGCTGCAGAGGGGGGCAAGAAAGGAGTAGAGGTGGAATCCTAGAGATGGCCTCTTCACACTTAGACTCTCTGTAGGAATCTAGAGGAGGCTTCTAGAAGAAGCCACTGGAAGAGGCCAGGTTTCATCTCCTTAGAATCAGCCCACTCCCTGAACTGTCCAAGTGCTCCAGAGCCGTGAATCCTGGAGTCCTCAGCCAGGAGCACACTTCTCTCATCCAATTCACTCATTCAATAAGTAGTTATTGAGTACTTACCATGTGGCAAGCTTAGTTTTAGGAGCTTGGGATGTATCAGGGAATAAAATAGACAAAGATCTCTGCCTACTGGGGCTTACATTTAGGGGGTGAGGGGAGGGAATACACTATATAAATTAGAAAATATATAGTATGTTAGAAGGTGATAAGTGCCATGGAAAAACCAGATATTACAGCAGGATAAAGGGATCAGAAATGGTGAGGTAGGAAGCTGCAGTATTAAATCAAGTGGTCAAAATGATAGACCTTATTGAGACTATAAAATTTGAACGAAGATATCAAGGAGGTGGGAGTGTTTTCCAGAAGGTTATCTGGGGGCTGTGTTTCAAACTGACCAAAAAGCTAGAACAAAAGCCCTAAAGCAGGAGCACGAGTTTGAGGCACACCATGGAGAACACCTCTTCAATGTCACTGTAGAGAAGGGATGGAGAGGAATAGAAGAAGATGCAGTTAGGTAGGTGATGGGGGAAGGGATGCAGATCATTGTAGGGTCTTGTAGGAGAATGTACGGACATTGGCTTTACTCTGAGTAAAAGAGGAAACTATCACGAGGTTTTGAGCATAGGGGTGCATGATCTCACTTCTACTTTAAAAAGATCATGCTTGCTGCTGTGTTAGGAATAGACTATAGGGAGTCAAAAGTAGAAGCAGGGAGACCATTAAAAGCTACCACAATAACTCATGTAAGAGATGAATGTGGCATGGACCAGAGTGGTTGCAGGAAGGTAGTGAGGAATGACATAATTCTACATGTATTTTTAAGGTAGTGAGCACGATGTCATGAAATATTGGACATGGCTGTGAAAGAAAGAGAGGAGTCAAGTATGACACCCAGGTTTTATTGCCTGAACGACTGAGTTGATGGAGATGTCATTAACTATGCAGAAGGACCAACTTGGGAGAGGGGGTGTTTAGTTTTGAATATACTGAGTTTAAGATATCCATTCAAGTAGTGTAGGAAGTTGAGTATATGAGATTGGATTTTGAAAGAGAGAGAGGTCTGGAGTGGAGACATAAATGTGGAATTCCTTGGCAAATAGATGGTAATCAAACTAATGAGGTGGATGAGATAACCAAAGAATTGAATGAATATGAAGAAGAGCCCTAGAGAAGTCTAATATTAAGAGGACAAGGAGAAGGAGAGGAACCAACAACAGCCAGTGAGGTAGGAGGCAAAACAAGAGGGTTTGGCGTCCTTGAAATGAAGTGAAAGTGTGTCACGGAGGAAGGAGTGACCAACAGTGTTGAATGATGATGGTAGGTTAAGTAAGATGAGATCTGAGAATTGACCACTGGATTTAGATATGCAGAAGTCACTGGTGATCTTGGTGAAAGCAATTTCAGTAGAATAGTTGGGAATAAAATCCTGAATAGAGTGGATTAGGAGGGAATGGGAGGAAAGGAATTGTATACAGCCAGTATAGATAATATTTCCCAGGAGTCTTGCTGCAAAGAAAACAAAGACATGAGGTGATAGCTGGAGGGGAATGTGGGGTCAAGCAGTATATTTTTAAGATGGAGGAAATTGCATCATATTTGGGAATAATTTAGTAGAGAACAGGAAGAAATGATGATGTAGAAAGTAAGGCAGAATTGTGGGGAAGATGTTCTTGAGTAGGTAATAGAAGATGAAATCTAATGCTCAAGTGGAGGAATCGGCCTTAAATAGGAACACAGATAGTTCATCTAATGTTAATAGGCAAGAAGGCAGGTATGAATGCTAGTGGATCTGAGAATATGAGTTAAGAGCAATATAGACTATTAATCCAGAAGCAAGGAAGAAGGAATGGGGGTGGAGAGTAGCAGATTATTCCTTTAGAATAGGTGACCGACTTTTCCTGAAAGCAGTCTCATGAGGGGAAAGGGTCGAACAGGAGATCTGCCTCGGGATGAGATGATGATGATGATGATGATGTTGATGTTGATGGTGATGGTGATGATGATGATAGAGGAGAATACTTAAAACATGTACAGTGCTTTAGAGTTTTCTAAGCTCTTTCATTTCCCTGATTGTGCTTGATCTTCACGACAGCCCCATGAAATATGTATTATTCCCACTTTACTGCAAAGAAAACTAAAGTTCAGGATCAACTAAAAGAAGAAAAATAGGAATAATATTATGACGATAATAGTAATAGCAGCTGTTTAAAGTTTACTATGTGACAAGCACTATTCTAACCATTTTATATTGCATTATTTTAATTATCACAACACTCTTAGGAGGTATAAGCTCCCATTTTACAAATGAGAGAATTGAGGCTCAGACAGGTTCAGCAATTTGCCCAAAGTCACACAATTAGTAAATTACTGAGGATTCAAATCCAGTCTGACTGGAGGAAGTCTGACTCCAAAGTCTGTACCTGAGTGTGGGAAGAGGACAGCTCAGATCACCGACCAGGTCTCTGGACCCTCTCCACTGCCCCTCTGCTCTGCCAAACTCAATACACTGCAGGCTCTGGAGTGCAGTTTTGATTTCCACTGGGCCCTCCGACTATCCCCAGCCAACCTCAGCCTATCCTGTCCCCTGGCAGGATTGTCCTGGCATGATGACCTCACCCAGTACGTGATCTCCCAGGAGATGGAACGCATCCCCAGGCTTCGCCCCCCAGAGCCCCGTCCAAGGGACAGGTAGGCATCCTTTCTCAACAACTCTAGCATGGCAAGGCTGGTGGGCCTGTGGTCTTCCTGATGGATGGAGGGAAGGAGGAGGAAAGTGGGCACCTAGGTCAGCAGGCTGAGGAGCAGGTAAAAGAGGTCCAGGACTGGTCCTCTGACATGCTCACACGCCCAGCAGGAGCTGAGCTCATCCCTGGGGATTCAGCAAAACAGAGGCATTAAAAACATGTTTTGAAAAACTTGGATATTTGATATTTTAAAAGAAGCATCCAAGTAGTCATCATGGGACTAATTAGAATCTTGTTGGACTGAAGTTGTTTGAAGTTCAGTTTCATTTCTATGTGGAATTGCATATGGTGGAAGATACCACCATCTTTTTGTGGCTAGAGCCTCTGAAGGCATTGTTCAGACCCTGTAAAGCAGAGGAAAGTAAATGAGGGCCATGGGGCTCAGATGATGAGACCAGAATGAAGAAGGCAGAACGGGGTGTGGGGGGCGCGGAGAAAGAGGGCACAGTATTGAATGTTTAAATGTATACTTGGAGAGCCAAGTGTGGGGACATGCACACAAGGGCAACAGGGCAAGCTGCAGCCACAGTTCATCTAGAGAGCTTCCCAGCTGCCTTCCCCTGCTCCAGTTCTCACCTTCTCCATCCCTAGCCTCATGCTTCCCTAGCCTCTGCTGCTGTTTCAGGGACCCAGGCATGCTTACCAGGGAGGTGATGGCCTCTGCCCCAGGCTTGGTCCTCTGGCCCTTCCCCATGCTATTCTCTCCTCCCCTGAGGCTACCTCATTTCTTAAGAAGTCAGACTTACTCTAAACTGCTCAGCTTGTCTGGCCTCACCATCTCTGCCTTGTAGGCTCTGTACACCTTGCCCCACACAACCAACACACAAACACACTTTGCTTTCCTCTCCAGATCTGGCTTGGTGCCCAGGAGACCAAGTCCCGCTGGGGAGCTGCTTTTACAGGGCATCCCCACTGGCTCCGCCCCTGCTGCCCAGCACCGGCTTCCTCGACCTCCAGTGGGCGGGGCCGGAGCTGGGGCAGGCTCCCCGCTGTCCCCTCTGCAGGCTGAGCTGCTGCCCCCTCTCTTGGAGCATCTGCTGCTGCCCCCGCAGCACCCCCACCCTGCCCTGAGTTATGAACCTGCCCTGCTGCAACCCTACCTGTTCCATCAGGTGAGCCCTGGACACCAGCCCCACCCCCACCCCAATCCCTCAGTCCCGACATCTGCTCTTACCCGGATCTCTGGTTCCCCACAGTTTGGCTCCCGCGATGGCTCCCGGGGCTCCGAGAGCTCCCCAGGGATGGTCAGTGTTGGCCCCCTGCCCAAGGCCGAACCCTCTGCCCTCTTCAGCAGAGCTGCCTCCAAGGGCATGTTTGGGGCTCACCCTGGCCACTCCTATGGGGACCCTCCAGGGCCTCCACCTGCTCAGCTTTTCCAGGAGTCAGGGCTGCTCTACCTGGCCCAGGAGTCGCCAGTGCCCAGCAGGGCCAGGGCACCAAGGCTGCCAGAGCAAGGGGGCGGCAGCCGGGCAGAGGACTCCTCAGAGGGCTATGAAGAGGAAGGACTAGAGGGTCGTGGGGAGAAGCCTCCTTCCCCAGCAGAGCAGCCAGGTATCAGAAGCCTCAGCATCCATTCCCTGCCTGTGGGGGCTGCTGTTGGGGGCTCCTTCCTGACTATCCATGCATTTGTTAACTTGTCCTTAAAGTCATTCATACATTTAACTAATGTCTACTGACAACCCGATCTATGCCAGGCACTAAGTAGGCAGTGGAGGGGTGGAGCTGACATAACTCTTCTTCAGATGGGGAGTCCAGATGTCCATGGTGGGCCTGAAGTTTGGTCTTGGCCCCAGAAAGGTCTTCCCCTCAAAGTGTGGAGAAGGGCTGGAAGGGGAGGGCATCAGTGTCCTGGTATTTGAGAAGAAGCTCTTAAATGTGCTAGTTCCCCCAACCCCCAACTCACCCATCTGCATCCCCACGAGTTCATCTCGCCACCAGCCCTAAGCTCTGTGTCTGGCTCCCAGCAGACGCAACCCTGCAGAGGCTGGCAGCCGTGCTGGCGGGCTATGGGGTGGAGCTGCGTCAGCTGACCCCTGAGCAGCTCTCCACCCTCTCAACTCTGCTGCAGCTGCTGCCCAAAGGCTCAGGACGAACTCTGGGTGAGTGTCCAGACAGGGGACTAGCAACTACCAGCTCCATGAAGGCTTCTTGCCCCACCTCTCAAGGCCACATGGAGCAGCCTAGAGGGGAAGGGTCAGGGTCAAGAGAAGGGAGTTCTTTCGAGACATGGGGTCATTGCCAACAAAGGGAAGGGAGCAAGGGGGTGCAGCGATGAGCTGAGGAGCTACACCTGGAAAGGGCTGGCGGGTGGAAGTAATGGAAAAAGAAGCCAACAGGGGCTCTGAGTGGGATCAGGAGGCACCCAGAAGGGTAGGTGGATGACAATGAGGCCCTAAGGAGGGGCGTGGCCAATGCCAAGGAGAAACCAATAATTGATGGGTAGAGGGAACACTGATCAAAGAATAGCTTTGAGAGGTGTGGCCAATGACAGAGGGAAGAGTCAATAAAAAAATGGATTATAAGGCAGAGGCATGAGGCCATGTTAGGATGAGACCAATGACAGGGTCTTGGTCACTGACTGAGGGGAAAGAAGCCACAGCAGAAGGAACAGGCTCAGGGCCTCTGGCCCTTTCTCCCACCTGCCTTGTGTGGACCTTGGCCTTGGCCCTTTGCCCAGAGTCTTGTTTACCTGTCTCTACAGGAGGGGTTCTAAACGTTGGAGCTGACATCAAGAAAGTGAGTTCCCGGCACCTCCCTGACCCATAGTGCCCCTTGCCAAAATCTACACCTCAGGATCAGGACCCAGAATCTGTATCCTCCAACCCCTCATTTTGGAGAAACCAAGGCCCAGAGGCTGCAAGTCATTGCCTAAGTCTCACCTCAAGTTGATGGCAGAGCTGGTTCTAGAGGCCAGAATTCTCGACTCAATGCTTTGATCACTACGATCATTTCAGACCATGCTCTGAGATCCCTAGGGGAAGAGGGGAGTCTTGAGCAGACAGGCTCCTGGCCCCCTGCAGCTCGAGGAGCTTTATCTGCTCCACATGATGGGCTTCCAAGATTTGTGGCTAAACAAAAGTCTAAAACCATTGCCTGCCATTCATCTTCTACCCTAACCCCAGTTCCCCTCGCTTCAGAGGTTCTCTCTACTCCCATCTTGTGTACTGTTAATGACCATGTTCCACTCAGTCAACCCTTATTCATTCATTCACCCACTTGGCTCACCTTTCTGGGTGCCCTCTCTATGCCTAGCGCTGCCCTAGGCCCTGGGAGTAGAAAGAAACAAGTCCTGAGTTACTCTGTAGAGAGCTCAGAGTCCAGGGTGTGGGCCCCCAGCCTTCCAGCCCCTCCACTGCCCAGAGACCACACCTCTATCCTCTCTTCTAAACAGACCGTGGAGGAGCAGGTGCAGGGCGGAGACACGGCCGAGCCTCTGCCCCCCACGCCCTCCCTGCCTGGGTACCCCACTGCCAGCCCCACCTCCGATAAAGCCCAGCAGGTGCTGAGCTCTGGATCCTCTGAGCCTCTCAGAGCTGCTGGCTCCTCTGCCACGCCTGTCCTGCTGGAGAAGAAAAGTCCACTGGGCCAGAGCCAGCCCACGGTGTCAGGGCAGCCCTCAGCTCGGCCATCAGCGGAGGAGTATGGCTACATCGTCACTGACCAGAAGTAAGGGCTCCAGCCTCGGGAAGCCTTCCGGTCCCCTGGGGGTTGAGCTGGCCTGTCTCAGAGAGCAGAAATCCAGATGCGAAGTAGACAGGGGGGTGGGCTGCTCTGCATGCCTGGAGGTGCCCTGTTTCAAGAAAGTGGCCCAGAGGGTCCCCGCTTTCCTGCTCCCCATCTCCAGGCCCCTGAGTCTGGCCGCCGGAGTGAAGCTGCTGGAGCTCCTGGCCGAGCACGTGCACGTGTCCTCAGGCAGCTTCATCAACATCAGGTGGGGCTGCTCTCCAGCTGGGGCAGCAGGGACCTAGAAGGCAGCTGGAGCAGGGAGGTGGCTGGAGGGGCTCAGGAGAGGAAAGGAAGACAAGCTCTTGCTAAGGGGCCAAGGGGGGATCAGAGATGCTCCCAGCTGCATTGAAGGTACAGCCACACCTAGCCCTGCTGCTGGCCCCATCCAGTATCTCCCTGGCCCCAAAGGCCCCTGTAGGGCATCTCTGATGGGCTCCAGCCCCATCCTCTAATGGGGAGAGGGCCAGAGCTGGCCTCTCTTTGAGAGTCTGCGGTCTACAGTGGGTGAGGCACTAACATAACTCATATTTCGCAGTGTGGTGGGACCAGCCCTCACCTTCCGCATCCGGCACAATGAACAGAACCTGTCTTTGGCTGATGTGACCCAGCGAGCTGGTAAATACTGCCTGGCCCCGGCCCCAGCCCCAGTAGGATATACCCAGGCCTGTGGCTGATGCTTCCTTTGAAATATTCATAATCCACCTGGGCCCTGTCTGCCACCTAGCATGTGTGACATGGGGTGGAGACCACCTGGGGCTGGAGAGAGCCTGACCTACGTCCTCCCTGCAGGGCTGGTGAAGTCCGAACTGGAAGCACAGACAGGGCTCCAGATCTTGCAGACAGGAGTGGGACAGGTATGAGCTAACTGGAGAATCGGTCAAAGCCCCAGAGGGCTGACGTTGCCCACAAGAGATGGAGGCAAACTCAACAGGCTACCTGGAGCTGAAACCTCATAGTCCAGGCTGGCCTGCCAGCTTCGCCAAAGCAGGCCTCCCCCTTGCAGTTTTCTTTCTGACCAGCAGATGGCCCCAGTGGCTCCTCCTCCGAGCAGGACCAGCCTTCTCTAGAAAGGCAGCATGCTTGGCAAAAGCTAGCTGAAACACCCATAGCCCTCTGGAGCCAAGTCTCTAAATTCCAAGGGAAAATCTTGTGCAGAAAGGACATTAAACTCAAGATAGTCTTCTATTCTGCATCCAACACTGATGCCTCACATTCTACTATTCAATTCTTTGGGTTCTCTCTCCACTTCTCTACATCCACTTTTAAATGCAAAGATTCCTGGTGGGGTCACCCACTATGTGGCCGGCGGTGCAACGTGGTTGAGTTGGTCCCATGGGGACTGAGAAGGAGGATCTTGGGTCTCTCCGAGCCCTTCTGCCTGTCCCACCATGCCCCTGCCTTCCCAGCTTTGTCCCAGGAGGTACCCTAGCGGGGAGTGTGGCGTGGGACGGGGGCGAGGAGCAGCCCTTGTCTCCCCCACCGCTGCCCCCCTTGATTCTAGCCTTATTCCCACAGAGGGAGGAGGCGGCTGCAGCCCTTCCCCGACCGGCCCACAGCTCCTCTCCCATGCGCTCCGTGCTGCTTACTCTGGTGGCCCTGGTGGGTGTCACCGGGCTGCTGGTGGCTCTGGCAGTGGCTCTGTGTGTGCGGCAGCATGCACGGCAGCGGGACAAGGAGCGCCTGGCAGCCCTGGGACCCGAGGGGGCCCATGGAGACACTACCCTTGAGTACCAGGTGTGCAGCCCCAGAAGCTTGGGGAGGAGAGGGAATGGAAAGGGCTTGGGAGTGTGGGTCTCGTGTGGAGTGAGGCTGGGAGCTGGATGAGAATTGAGTGCCCATCCCTGGGAACGTCCAGGTGGGGCTGGAGGAGCCCCAGTAGGGATGTTGAATGAATGGGAATTGGGAGCAGATGGTCCCTAAAGTTCCTCCGATTCTGGGGTTCTGGGGTTCCACTCTGTAATAGCTGAGGTTGTCATAGGCACCACCCAGGCAGAAGAGCCCAGAAAAGGATGAGGTCCAGGGCAGAAGACTTACCCCAGAGGAGATGGGTTTCATTCAAAACCAACTGAGGATGAGCTTAGGGATCCAGAATTGAACCCAGGACTCTGCTGAAAAGGCATCAGGGGACCTTGGCCCCTGCCCCATTCTCCTCCTGCAGGACCTGTGCCGCCAGCACATGGCCACAAAGTCCCTGTTCAACCGGGCAGAGGGTCCGCCCGAGCCTTCTCGGGTGAGCAGCGTGTCCTCCCAGTTCAGCGATGCGGCCCAGGCCAGCCCCAGCTCCCACAGCAGCACGCCGTCCTGGTGTGAGGAGCCCGCCCAGGCCAACATGGACATCTCCACGGGACACATGATTCTGGTCAGGACAGGGCCCGGGCGCAGAGCGGGTGAGGGGACAGGATGGTGGGAGAGGCAAGGCTGGCGGTGGGGCCGGAGCCAGGCTGTGGTGTCCCTGCAGGCGTACATGGAGGACCACCTGCGGAACCGGGACCGCTTGGCCAAGGAGTGGCAGGCCCTGTGTGCCTACCAGGCGGAGCCCAACACCTGTGCCACCGCCCAGGGGGAGGGCAACGTCAAAAAGAACCGCCACCCCGACTTCCTGCCCTGTGAGTGAGCCATGCCGGCCAGGCTGGCCCAGCCCTCTCTCTGCTGGGAGCTCTGGAGGGCTCGGGGTGGGGTGGGGCTCCTGGCTCAGGCCCAGTGGCGGAGGTGCCAGGACCCCGGTGACTGGCGGGGCCTTTGGGGCGGGATGCGGGTCTGTGCAGATGACCACGCCCGCATCAAGCTGAAGGTGGAGAGCAGCCCTTCCCGGAGCGATTATATCAACGCCAGCCCCATTGTGAGTGGCCCCGGCCCCAGCCCCACCTCTGCCTCCTTTTGATCCTGCCCCCATAAACTCCACTTCCTTACGGTCGCCACCCACCCCACCCGAGGCCTTGGAATTGTGGGGCCTGATGTCCTAGCGTGGAAATGGGGGTTCTCAGGCTTCCCCGACCCTGGCCCGCTTCCTTTGACCAAGCTTCGCCATAGTGGCATTTCCCATTCTGGCTTGTCATGTGTCTCCCCTGCCCCCAGATCGAGCACGACCCTCGGATGCCAGCCTACATAGCCACACAGGGCCCGCTGTCCCACACCATTGCAGACTTCTGGCAGGTGGGCTCTTGGGGGGAGGGCTTCTCCACGGACCAGGGGCCCTGGAGGGCAGCCAGGGCCAGCCAGGTCCCAGGGATGTTAGGAGGGAGCTTACCTGAGTTTCTGTCCCTAGATGGTGTGGGAGAGTGGCTGCACCGTCATCGTCATGCTGACCCCACTGGTGGAGGATGGCATCAAGCAGTGTGACCGCTACTGGCCAGACGAGGGCTCCTCCCTCTACCATGTATATGAGGTCAGCAGGACCCGTGGCCAGGGGACAACGGGAGTGGGCAGAGTGGGTGGTGGACCATTCATACGTCTATGAACATATATCTATATAAATATACGCATACACATGTATATTCACATACATACATACATATACATATGTGCGTGCGTGTGTCCAGTCTGACTCCAAAAAGCATTCGCAGGGAATATGATGAAAGGTACAGAAGTCAAACTATAAAACCACCAAAATTGAGATAAGAAGCTAAGAGCCAAGAGTATGTGAGAAAAGGAAGATAAGTATACCCAAAGGCCAAGATCAAGACCTTTAATTGAGCCTAACTTAGCTCTGAGTTTCCTGGAGGCCAAAGCAAAGAAAGAAATACCATCAGTCACACAGGTTGCTTATGCAAAATAGAAACAAACTTTTTCATTAGGAGAGAGGATAGGTAGGGGGAACTGGGCAGAGGCAAAGCAGGGGAAGGAGGAGCAGATTCCTGACAAATGGGAGGTGACCCCCCTGTAAAACAAGGACATTAAGAGCACAACAGCAGCTTGTTGTCACCAGATGAGCACTGGATAGTACTTTTTTCATCATCAGATGAGCACTCGACAGTCTTTTTTTTTTTTTTAAGCTTTTTAAATTCGTCTTGCTCACGGTTAAAGAAAAAAATCCAATAAAAATTTTATAGGATTTCATCAAGTTGGTGTGTGTGGCACAGACGCTTTGCTAGGCTCTGTGAGGAAGAGGAAGGAGAAACTCTGACCTCAAGAAGTTCACAATGGTTGCGTCTAGATGGAAAAGCCACCAGTTGTCCTGAGCAGTAGATAGGGTTCATATAGCAGTAGATAGTAGATAGCACAGACAGGGTTCTTGGGGACAGCTGGGACAATTGGGTAAGCTTCCTGGAGGATTCAGAATTTGCACCGGCCTGGGAGGCGGAGGAACGTGCGCGCAGACGCGGAGAGGCCCCGCGTGCTCAAGTCGGGGCCCGCCCCTGCGCAGGTGAACCTGGTGTCGGAGCACATCTGGTGCGAGGACTTCCTGGTGCGCAGCTTCTACCTGAAGAACGTGCAGACCCAGGAGACGCGCACGCTCACGCAGTTCCACTTCCTCAGCTGGCCGGCAGAGGGCACTCCGGCCTCCACGCGGCCCCTGCTGGACTTCCGCAGGTGAGCGCCGTGAGTGCCGGGAGAGGGCAGCACAGGAGCAGGGGGCCGGCAGCTGGGCTCCCCCGCGATCCCCCGGCCCATCAGCTCCGCCTGGGCCCCAGGTGCTGTGAGGCAGACCCTCTAGCCTGACCTGGAGCCTCCGCCTCTGACCTCCAGCCGCCCCCTTCCAGACCCCCCAAACCAGGCCTGATGCTCTGTCTTGCTGTGCCCATCCCTCCACCCTGTGGTCCAGCTCCGTTGCTGCTGTCTCGCGCGCCCCCTTTTTCTCCCCGCCTCTCCGTCTCTGGCTCCTTCTCCATTACCCCCTTCCCCCCAAAAGGGCTCACCTGATTTCTAGTTCTCTCCCTCTGCTTGGCCCCCGCCTCCTGTCACCTCTCTCTTCCTCCTGTCGTGCTCCTCCAGGCCTCCAGCAGTGTTCTCTGTCTGCCGTCCCCTCTCTCTCTCTCTCTCCCTCCCGCGGATCTCCCTTCTTTATCCCTCTCTGTCTCTTTGCCTGTAGTTTTATTTCTCTCCCTCTCTGTCTTTCCTTCTCTTTCCCTCCCTTCCTTTCCTCTTCTCTCTCCCCTCATCTCTCTCCATCACAGTCTCTCAGTCTCTCTCTTATTCTGTCTCCATTTCTCCCTCTCTGCTCCTCTGCCTTGTTCCGTCTCTTCTTCTCTCTCTCTCTTCTTTTTCTCCACCTTCTGCCATCTCTATTTATTTCTGCCTCTCTGTCTCTGTCTCACCCTCTGTCTCTCCCTCCCTCTGTCTGTGTCCCCCCTCTGTGCTTCCCTCTCCCTCCCTCCTCTGTCTTTCTCTCTCTCCCTCGCTCTCACAGCTGCCAGTGTCATTTTTGTGATCTGCAGCTAGTATTCTCGTTCCAGTTGCATAGTCACAAAAGTGATCATGGGCAGGTGTGGCTGCTGCACGGACAGGACCATCAGGACATGTGGCCCGAGACCACCCAAAAGGCTGCTGGGAGAGCTGGGGGCTGAGGGGGCTCCGGGAAGGGACAAATACTATGAAAGGGAGTACAGGAGACTCTCTGGTTTCTTGGGACCCACTGGAGCTGGGTGGGGGCTGGGGCAGGAAGCCAACTGAGGGACTTACCCTATTCAGACACCAAAACCACACCCAGGCCAGGCCTCCAGCATCCCCTTCCTTCCCCCTCCCCAGACAGGTGGCTGAGAAGCCTACCACCACCGGCCAGGGCTCACCCACACTGCGCCCTCCTCCTGCTTCTCTGCCCCTTGCCAGGTGGGCCTGAGGTCTCTGGATGCTGGGCGGAGAGCAGAGGAGCAGAGCTGGAGTGGGAACCTGGGGACAGTTTCTGAGCCTCAGGACAATGGTTTCTAACTGGGGTCCTGGGGCCCGGGGCACAGTCTTCTCAAAAGCAATGCCAGGGGTATCAGAGCTACTTCCTGTTTTCTACATTTTAAAAGTCCTTATAGAACTAGTGCATGGACCTGTTTTAAGGTACACAGGTAAGCTAAAAGGTTATATTTCTTTGCTTTAGGCTGGAATTATGTAAACTCGGTTAGCATTAGACACGTAGAACAAATTAATTGCTGCTTAATAAATACAGTTTGGTGAAGGTCCATCAGAGGGAAGGCAAAATAATTTTTTTAAGTCCCAGAAAGTGACCCTGAGCAAGTTCCTTGACCTCCCTCTGTGCCCTTACCTGTGAAACGAGGATGATGACCCATACTTTAGGGGGTCATTACAAGCGTCACTAGGATGAAGTCTGTCAAATCTAGTTTAAGTGCCTGGCACGTTGCAAGGCTTCAGGTAATTCTGGATACTATTTATTGTCATTATTACTAAACAATTGGGAACCTCTGTTGTAGCTTCTTTTCAACCCCAGCCCTCTGACAAATGAGCCAATGTGCTAGAAACCCATGTGGACTCCTATAAAACCATTTGAAGTCACCAGACTGAAGGCCACTAAGTTCCAAGCTTCTCCTAAAACAATCTAATAACCCCTAAGAAGGTCCTCCCTAGTCCTGGCCCACTGAGGGATGTCAGGATTCTGCAGGTGGCTCTCAAAGCAGGAAAGTCATAAGGGACAAGGCCAGGTTAGACGGGCCACTGAGGGAGGGAGAAACCCCTTGCTCCTTGCCGAGCTGTGTTCAGGGCAGCAGAGAGGAGTCTGAGGTCCAAGTAGACCCCAAGTCTGCATATGACGCAACCACAGAATGCCTATGCAGAGGTGAGGCTGGTCCAGGGAGACAGGCAGTATAATGTTCAGAGCTGAGGAGTTGTCCTCCCCTGGCCAGAGGAACTTTGTGCCTAGAGCTATCTGACCTCACTGCTGGTAAGGACCACAAGGAACCCGAGTGGGGAGGGGAACAGCCTGGGCAGTTGTAGAGGCGGGCAGAGGAGCAGAGCAGGGATGTGGCAAGACTGACACTCCTGAAGTCACCAGAAAGCCTATCCTCCCTGGACTTCTGGCAGAGGGAGCTGTTACTATTATGATGCATGATCGTGAATAGTACTACCATTTATTGAGCACCTACTGTGTGCCAGACCTTGCACTTAGTTCTTTACATGGATTATCTCATGTAATCATGACAAGAACCCTAAGAAGAAGGTTACTATTCTTATCAGCCCCATTTTACAGGTAAGAAAAGTGAGGCTCAGAGAGGTTAAGTCAGCAGTTCCAGATGCATAGCTTGAGCACAGAGCTCATAAGCGACAAGGCAAGCCCAGCGTCACCCACACCGTCTCTGGTTCTTTCCCTCCAGCCCTGACTCCTCTCTTCAGCCCTCTCCCCTCCTCTGCACGGGGCAGGTGGGGAGAAAAGGACGACAGCGAGGCCCACAGGTGTGGGTTTCGGTTCCCCTTTCCCTCTGCCGGTGCCCCTGGCCTTCACACCCATTTCTTGTTGCAGGAAGGTGAACAAGTGTTACCGGGGCCGCTCCTGCCCCATCATTGTGCACTGCAGGTGCGTGGACAGGGCTTGTGGGAGGGGGTGGGGGTGGAAGGGGACTGGACAGCCCCAGCCAGAGGGCCCTGAGGTGAGGCATCCTGATCACCACCCCTCTCTGGTCCTGCTCCCTGTGCACATCTCCATGCACGTTGCTCGCCTGTCCCCTCGATGCCAGCAAACTACAGCCCATGGGCCAAATTCAGCATACCATCTATTTTTTTTTAACGGCCCATGAGCTAAGAATGGTGTTTACATTTTTAAATGGTTGAAGGAAAAAAGAAGAATGTGTGACAAGAGACTCTATGTGGCCCGCAAAGGTGGAACTATTTACCATCTGGCCATTTACATAAAAAGCTTGCTGAACAAAAGCCTGGCCCGAGGCTGGAAAGGGCCGTTCCCTTTGCCTCCTGCTGCCTCCGCCTCAGGGCTCAGCCAGGGCTCCCCTCTCTGGTCGGCCCACTGCCCAAGTGCACCCCCTGGGTCACAGGCTCCTGCTCAAGGCCCAGGTGCTGTGACCCGTCCCACGCCCTCGGCTCACTCACGCCCTCCCCGAGGCAACCCTAACAGGTCCACCAGTGTCCTCCCCACCCCAAGCGTCCGTGTCTCCTCCGCCCCTCCCCCATTCTGCTGGGTCCCCAGCTGAGCCTGTCACCATCTCCTGTTTCAGTGACGGTGCAGGGAGAACGGGCACTTACATCCTCATCGACATGGTACTGAACCGCATGGCGAAAGGTGAGAACCTTCCCCACGGGGCCCGCAGCCCCAGCCCTGAGCTCTCCCCAGCACCTAGGGTCACAGGAGCTCATGCAGGGGCGAGTTCTCACACCCCCAGGCTTTGCCAGTCCTCCGAGCCTCCCACCCCAGGATGCCCTAGGCTTTCTGGGTCCTATCCTCCTCTGGACACCCCCTGAGCAGCCATGCCCCCCACCTCCAGGAGTGAAGGAGATTGACATCGCTGCCACCCTGGAGCATGTCCGTGACCAGCGCCCTGGCCTCGTCCGCTCTAAGGTGACTGTCCCTCCCTGCCCCAACCCCAGCTGCCACCCTTCCCCAGAGAAACCAGCAGCCTGGCTCTCCCACCTGCCTCTGTCCCTCCCCCAGGAGGACTCCCCCTCTCCCAAGTGACCTCCCCAGCTCCCCCTCCCAAAAGCCCCCCTGGGGCAGGAGCAGAGGCCAGGCCTCCCCATGACCTCCTTCCCACTGCCCCTCCCCAGGACCAGTTTGAATTTGCCCTGACAGCTGTGGCGGAGGAGGTGAATGCCATCCTCAAGGCCCTGCCCCAGTGAGAGCCCTGGGCCCTCTGTGGGCATCCCGGCCTCCGCTCCCTCTTTGCCTGTGCGAGCATCTCTCTGTGTACCCACTCCTCGCTCCCCCACCCGCTACCTTGGCCCTTCCAAGAGGAGTGTGTAAGGCAGGGGAGGGGGGAGGGGCAGACCTGCCCAGCCTCTCGCATGCCAGAGCCCAGCATCCCGTGGGGGAGCTGGCAGCTTGTTAGGAGGAGAGGACAGTCGTATGCAGCCATTCCTCCCAGAGCCTTCTCCCACCTGAGTTCCCTGGCCCCCATCTCCAGTCATTTTGGATGCTCCCCATCTGTCTGTGTGGACGCCCCCCACCCTCCAGAGTGGACACAACAGGGTGGAGGGGCCACCACACCCAGCTCTTCCTGCTTTCTGGGCCCCTGCTGCTCACTGTCCTGCCTCTGTGACCCACACTCTGGTCCCCACCCTTCCTGTCCCCCCCAAGCAGACCTGCCACCCTCACCCTCCCACCACATGCCACTCAACTCTCTCCCTCTGGCACAAGAGAACATTTCTAGAAAAATCTACTTTTGTATCAATGTGAATAAAGTTAGTGTGTCGTGTGTGCAGCTGCAACGCGGACTCCTACGCATTCCCATCTGCTCTGCTTCCAGCCTCTAGCCTCAGCCTCGGTCTGGAGCCAGGCCTGCTGCGTTTCTCAGGAGATACAGAGTGTGACGGGAGAGCCGGGCTGCCGAGTCAGGCTCCCCGAGGTTGGGATGGTAGCCGATAACAATCCGGCAGGGTTTTTCCTACACGTGCTTCCTACACGTCCGACAGTCTCCAGGGTGCTTTACACGCATTAACTTGTTTGATCTTCACGACGATGCTACCGATTCTTAGCCCCATTTTACAGATGGAGAGACTGCGGCGCAGAACTCGCCCGGGGTAACATGACTTGAAAGTGGTGGTGTTAGGATTCGAACCTAGGCATGCTTACCCTCTTTACTGCCTCTCCTCTCCGTTCTTGGGCAGCTGCTTCGTGCCCTTTGGCCTCAGGAATCGGCCTCAGGAATAACGTACGTCCTGCGGCATTGAGGTTAGGACTGAAGGAGGTGGTACCGGCAGAGAGCCCGCCACACGTTCAGCAAAACTAGCTAACGGCTCATAGCGACTCGACTCAGAGACAGGCCTGTGAGATGTCACAGTAGACATTTACCTAGGACAAAGGGCACTTTCTCTCTTTCTGTCCCCCCACTTCCCCGGATCCCCGAACCCTCCACCCTGAATGGTCCCAGAGGAGCCCTTGCCTGCATGTCATGAGGCATCCTTGGACAAATGTGGGGACACAGAAATGAAGCACAAAGAGCCTTGGGCCTGGAGCTACTTGGGAGTTAAGGCCACTCAGCCTTGCCAAGGCTTGGTCCCCTCACATGAACAATGAGGCAAGTCTCATCTGCCCCGCACAGGGAGTGACGGGGCCAGCAAGCAGACCACAGGCCCACCTACACCTCACCTGTGCTCTGCTGAGTCTCAACTCCAGGATGTTTGACACCTCAACGGGGAGAAGTGGGAAAAACAGCCATTTTACAAACTTCCAGTGGATTCTGTCTCTCAAGATACAGGCTTGAAATTCCTTTCAGGGCAAGCTGCTTCTGTGCTTTGAGAAAAATACAATATAGGCCCTTTGGCTATTGAAGACGAAGCCAAGTACTTATCCTGGAATGGGTCGCTGTCCCTGCTTGACAACGGGAAGGTGCTGGTCCCATGGCTGGACAGGCCTCTCCGCAGGTGTCTGGAGAGAGAAGGGGGAGGCACCCTGGACCCTGGTAGGGCAGATTTGTGCCACTCTACTGGGAGAGGCTGGCCTCTGAGACCAGCCACTGGCCTTGAGCTAAGGAAACCTGTGAGGGGCCCAGTGTCCTGGCCTCAGGAGCACGTTTTTACAGGTTTTCACCATGTGTTCCCTGTTTTCCCTATGCTTTCAGTCAAGTCACAACTTAGTCTGGTCCTAGCTGTGCTGATGGGTGTTGGGGGGTGGGTCCCTGCGTAAGGGGAACAGCTACCCGGGGAATCCAGTTGTGGGTCCCCAAGAGGTGAGGGCAGAAGACTGCGAGCATTTTTTGGGATTCCCATTGATGTACTGGGGAGGGCAAAGAGGGGACTTCTGCTGTCAGCTGGAAAGGCTGTGACCTAGAGCTATTCCAGCAATAAAGGGAAGTGTGTCACCCACTGGTCCCCTAGGGTCCCTCCTGGACACCCCGGAAAGGAAGAATACAGGAACACAGCACACCACTGAGCTCTGGAAACTCAGCTTTATTGATATTGACTTGCAGCGTTTCCCCGACGGTCTGAGCTCAGCCCAGCTGGCTTTGATAGGTCTCTGAGACTCCATGTCCCAGGAGCTGGCAACACCCAGGCTCCACCACTCCCCTCCCGGGCCCCCTGGGCTCCCCAGGCAGGGAGGAGGAGAGGCAGCTCGTCTGCGATGTTGGAGAGAAGGAATGGGCAGCAGGGTCAGAGGCAGAAGAAGCAGTACAAGCAGCAACATGCCCGGAGTGCCCATCACACGCCAATCCCGGCCACACACACACACACACACACACACACACACACACACACACATCCCAATAGGGCGGCCTTCCCTTCCAAGCTCTCTGCCGGCCCATGCCCACCAGCCTTCTGGGGCCACGCCCTGCTTAGCAGATCCACTCCGGCTTGTTCCTGGGACCCAGGACTGCCCACAGGAAGAGCCACTCCCAGATGCCGCAGGGCTTTGATTTGTACACTCCCACCCCGGCGCTAGCAAGAGGTGTCAGGGGAACCGAAGCGAGGCCCATTACCCCTTCATCCACATTCCTGCCAGCCCTGCCAGGGACAAATCAAATGACAAGGTCTCCCCGTCTCACGGGGAGTGACAGGCCGATCTGGGCTGGAACTACATGTCCCAAGATGCACCATAACCATGCACCACCTCCCCCAAGCATGACCTATCAGAAATGAGGCAGGGTGCATTGCATTCTGGGACTTGTAGTCCCCAAGAGACAGCACCAAACACCCAGGGAAGAGTTTACAGGCTAAGACACCTCCCACCCAGCCCCCACCCACCACCCAGGCCCAGCTCTACACTCAGCACGGGTGAGGGAGAGGGATGGAGGGTCCCCTCCCAGTGCACAGGGGAGGGCGCTGTCCTGTTGGAACTGTGCAGCGACTCTGGATCCCGGACACCAGCTCAGAACACATCTGGGGAGAGAGCAGGGGCAGGGTGACAGGAGAGAGGGTCAGCAGCAAGCCGTGGAGGATGGAGCTGAGCATGCAGACCTGGGCTAGCCCTGTGGCCTCCCCTGCGCCCTGATGCATGGTGAAGGAGGACGGGGTACAGTCCCCTCCTAGGCCTCCCTCCTGGGGCACCCTGGCCTTATCCCACCTCTCCAGGGTTAGCCGGCCTCACCTCTGCCTAGTCCTGAGGCCTGGGCCAGGCTGAGGCAGCAAGAGGAAGGGAGGAGGAGTGGGCTCCGGTTCCGAATCTGGACGGCCGAGAGGCTCCCGCCCCACCCAGCTAGCCTCCCCGGAAGACCTTATGGCCCTACCGGCCACAGCATCTTCCTCGCCACACTGAGGCCTTCTTGGGGAAGGAAGAAGGGAGTCCTAGCCAGCCGGCAGTGAAAGAAAGCGATGCGGCCCGCAGGGAATTGCAGAGAGAAGAGTGCGAGGAAGGAGAAGCAGCACCAGAAGGGAAGCAACAGAGACGGTCAGAGCTCAATACTGCACAGAAATCAGGGGGGGGGGGGGGGGGGGAGGGGTGTCTGCAGCTGCAGAGCAAGGAGAGAGGGAGACTCCCCAGCGGAGCTGCCGACTCCAGCTCAGAGAACCCCAGGCCAAGTCCTCCTTCCTTGACATCACCAGCAACACAGGTGGCAGAAGACCTGGGCACAAAAGGCCCGACCCAAACCACTAATGCCCCTTAGAAACTCCCCACCTAATAAGAATAAGTGCATCCTGGCTCCTCAGGCCCTCCCACTGCCCTGAGGCCCCCCACTCTGGGCTTCACCAGGGACCTATTGGCCATGGGCTGAGCACAGCAAATCCAGAGTCCACACTGGAGTGTGGGTGGCCCTGGGAGGGAAACCTGCAGAGGGAGCGTGGGGTTGCAGAGGGGCTCCTGCAGCTCAGGCGTGCCCCTCTCTGCTCTCCTGACAGTAAGCAGGACCCCTGGACACCCTGAATCGGGGTGGGTTGGGCCTGGTGGTCAGAGGATGAGGCAACGAGAGGCCTTCTCCTCCGGGGACGGGCTGGGTTTGGCCACATCACCCCTGGCACCCTCATGGGTCACCCCCACGCCCGGATCTTGGTGCTGGGCCTTGGGCCGCCTGTGCCGTCGTCGCTGCACCGCCCGCCCACCTGCCGGTTTCTTCCCAGCTGCCTCCATCTCTGACAGGCTGTAGGCCATGGCCAGCTGCAGGTCCTCATCATCCTCGGAGAGGTCGCTGTCAGAGGGGCGTGAGGCAGGGGTCTGCCGGACCTGCGTGCCCCCAGACCTGGAGGTGACAGACTGTTGCTGCTCGCGACGGCTCAGCTCCAAGCCCAGTGCCAGGTCATCTGGGACGCCTGCAAGAGGCACGGCCACCATGAGGCTCTCTGACCCAGGCCAGGAGACTTCTGCCAGGCTGCCTCATGCAGCAACGACTCTGACCACTTGCAGCCCCTCCTTTGGAACTGGCGCACATGCGTTCTGGCACCTAGCATAGCGGTTATGAGCGTGGGCTGGTATTCAGCTCCAGCAGGTACGAGCTGTCTCCTTGGGCAAGGTACTCACCCTCCCTCAGCCTCCCTTTCCTCATCTGTTAAATGGGGATGATGAGAATGTGTACACTGTCAGATTGTTCCAGTGATTAACTATGACAGCCCATGGAAAGCACTTAGCACACGGTGCTCCAGAGACAGCAGGCATGGAAGGGTAGCCATGGCGACCATCCTGCACGGCGTGGTGCTGTGGGAAGAGTTCACTCCTGCATCCTGAGTGTCATTCCTGGCTTTTCCCCTTGCTAAGTAGGACAAAGCCTTGGGCCTGGGGCTCCTTGGGAGGTCAGGCCATTTAACCATGCCAAGGCTCAGTCTCCTCAAATGAAAAACAGGGCGACTACAACTGCCCAGCTTTCCCTCTGGCTGTTTTAAAAATACAGGAGAGATGGTATGTGTGCAAGTGCTTTAAAAATAGTAAAGTGCTCTGCAAATGCCATGCACCCCACTAATGGTGATGACGATGAGCTGGCCCTCTGAGACTCCCCACTTCCCCATCCCAGCCCCCTTCCCCGGATCGCCAGCACTGATCCTGCCAGTCTGGCCTGCGGCCGCCATTCCCTCCCTGCCCCAAGGGAGTCCAGAAAGGAGCAGTTTGGGGAAGGGGCTTTGGGGCCTGGGGCTGGGGCTTCCTGCCCGGGCCCGGGTGGCAGAGCGCTGCTCACCATTGATCGTGACTGACTTCAGCTGCCCGTCCTCCTCCACTTCCACCCGTTCCTGCCCGTTCTCCATGATTCTGGGGAAGAAGCACACTGCAGTCAGCGAGCATGCCTGAGTCCTGCAGGCGCCCGTCCAGGGAGGCCGCAGTGAGCAGGACAGGCTTGGCTCTGCCCTCGAGGGGCTGACTTTCTAGGTGTATGCAGCTCCCCCTCCACCCCCACGCCCCGCATGGTGCCACAGGAGCCCTCACCTGCGCGTCGTGATGCGGCGTCCTTGGACGAAGGTGGTGGACGTAGAAACAGAGCGAAAAGCACCGGCCCCAGGACTGAAGGAGAAAGACGAGGAGGAGAAATCTGGGGTCGGGACAGAGGAGGAGGAGAGGTCGTTAGACGGAGGCTGTGCGCCGCACGCCGCAGTCACAACGGGCCAGCCACCTCTGTGGAGTCTGCCCACATCGCCGCCCAGAGCCGGGGCTCCAGACACACGGGAGAGAGGGCTTGGACAAGCAATGAGCCAAAGCGAGGGGTTCCGGGACTCAGAGCTTGCAAAACTGGGACGAGAAAGCACTTACCAGAGTGCCCAGGGAAGGAGGAAGAGAAGCTGAAGAAGGGGCCCGAGTGTCGGGGACCCCGGTTCTGAAGCTCTGAGAAGGGGCCCAGGTCATCTGCAACAAGTGAGCAGATTAACAGTCATCTGGTGAAGACATTTCCCCCCAAAACAGGTGTGAACCCTGCTTTTAAGTCTAGAAATATAAGGTGCTAAGCAACTGGGCACATTTCTGATTTTCTTCTTTTTTGCTTGGACTTATTTACAAATTAAGCTCCTATTTAATATTATATATGAAAAAGTTCACTGGTAAATTCTGTCCACAATGAAGAATAAGGGGCGGGAATGAGGGAGGGTGGACAGATAGCTCCGTGAGTCCAGGCAGGTAAGCTCGGGGTGATGTCAGGCAGACATGGCTACGAGTCCCGACTGCCAATTGCTGTGTGACTCTAAGCAAGTTATTTGAATGTGCCTCTGTTTTCTGATCTGTAAATGGGGATAAAATTGTCCACCTCGCAGGGTTCATTAGAGGATGGGGGCGGGGGGGATACTTGGCACATATTAATTATTCAAAAAATGGCTTCTGTTGGTATTTGTAATGTCATTTTGTCACATGATGCTTTGAGTCTTGCTCTCATGGCTGTCATTGTGAGGTCTAACAATGTATTATTGTTGTTATCATTTAATAAGGCGAGTCTCTGAAGTGTCTCTATAGGGTCACGCGGGTTCAGGCCTGTGTAAGGTTCTGTCCCGGCTCTCACTGGATCCACCCCCACAAAATCTTCAGTCTGTGGAATTCTGCTTCCCTCTCAGCCTCTCGCCTAAGGGCCCCTGAGCTCACGGGACAGGCCTGGAGGGGGAAGTCGAGCTAGTCAGAGGCCTCCTGAGCCCACTCACCAAAGAGCTCCGAGAAAGGGTCCCCGCTGCCAAAGAAGTCCCGGAAGACCTCCTCAGGGCTGCGGAAGGTGAAGGTGAAGCCAGGCCCACCACTGCCAGCTTCTGCCCGAGATGGGCCAGTCCCTGGAGGAGTGGCAGCACAAGGAGGGGGCTGAGGGTGTGCATCCTGCCCTGAGCCAGGGCACCCCACCTAAGGCACAGCCAGGAGCCTCAAGAGCACATCCGTTGCAAGAATCTGCACCCCCCTCCCTCCCCCACTTCCACCCCTGGGCCCCACCACTGCACCTACCTGCCCCCGTCAGCCCTTCCCGGCCATAGTGGTCGTAGATCTCCCGCTTATGCTCTGGAAAGAGAGAGCAGATCATTTCTCCTCCCTCTGGGATGACGGCCTCCCATTCCGGGCTAGGACCTTCAGAGGACTGCCCTGAGACTGACACTTGGGGGACGACAAGGTGCACAGGGGACACGGGCTACAGCTTATAGCAGCAGCCCAGTCCTTCTCATCTTTCAAATGGACACAGCAGCACCTACCTCTTAGGGTTGTTGCAAGGATTCAATGAAATAATCTACGTAAACTTCTTAACACCGGGCCTGATACACAGTAAGTGTTCAATGAATGTTTGCTAATTATTACTATGTTATTACTATCAGGGCTTAGCCTGAATGTCACCTCCTCAGAGAGGCCTCCTGTGACCACCGTAACAAAAACTGATGCCCATCACTCCCTGTCACATCACCCCACTACTTTCCTTTGGAACACTCTTGTCTGTGTATTTACTTGGTTCATGTCGGTCTCCCCCGACCAGAATATGATAAACCCAGCAGGATGAGGACAGTGCCCCCTTGTCCTCCATTGTTCCCCAGAACCCAACAAGTGCCCGGCACCATAAGCATTCAGTGAATATTTTTTGAATGAATTAATAAAAGACAGACCTGGATTCGTATTCCAGCTCTGTGTGACCTGGAGCAAGTTACTTCACCTTTCTGAGCCCCAGTCTCCTCGCCTGTGAAGTGGGGGTGATAAACCTTGCCTCACAGGATGACTGTGAGGACTCATGGAGATGGCACCCCCCCAGTGCCTGGCACAGAGAAGGCTCGGCACACGTCGGTTACCCGCCCTGCTTCCTTCCCCTTGTCAGGACCCAGGGCACACCTACTAGATCCTGGGGAGCAGACACTGAGCACAGGGGATTAAAGGGAAAATAAAAGGATGCTTTGCGCATAGTAGGCACTCATTTGACTCGAAGCAAAAAAAAAGAAAAAATTCCCAGAGTCCCTGCGGGAGGGGAGCACTTAAATGCCAGGTTGGAAAAAGGCAGGGAGGAGACTGGGGTGGCAGCACGGCCTTGGGAAGGAGTGTGACAGGGCCCGAAGTGGGGGCGACGGGTGCTGCCCTGCCCTGCCCCTGGCCCTTACTGTCCGAGAGCACTTCATACGCCTCGGCCACCTCCTTGAACTTCCTCTCAGCAAACTCTTTATTATCCGGGTTCTTGTCCGGGTGCCACTGTAGCGCCTTCCGCCGGTACCTGCAGGAAGTGGTTCAGAGGGGAAGGTCAGGGGACAAATGCAGCTGCTTCCCACCGCGGGACAGAATGACCCATTTTCCCATTAGCCACCATTGTCCTTTCCGTAGTCACATCCCTGGCCACCCCAGCTGCTGCGGCTGCCTCTGCTGCGATGTTTTCGCGCAGTCCCTCTCTCCCCTCTGCAGCCAGCACTAGGACCACTTGTCTCGGCGGACGTAATGTGAGGGGGGGAAACCCCAGCCCTAACCCCTCCCTGGGGCTCACTGGGGCTGAGGTTGCAAAGGCTGGGGGTACATGTGGCCATGGAGGGTACAGGGGCACTGGTCCCTCCTGGTCACATTGCCTGGGCATCTTTGCACCACCGCATCCTGAGAAGACTAGGGGCAGGGGTTGGGACAAGAGTGGAGGAGAGGGGAAGGGAGGGTTTACCGCAGAAGGACGCACAGTGCAGCTCCCAGCAGAACTTCTTCACGCTATGGACTTTCTCCTACTCATCCAGGGGTCTCCTTCCCCCCTACAGGTGTCACTCTCTGAGGGAGCCCCCCAATCCTTTCTATAGACCTGGTTCCCTGGCACTGAAGGGCCCCATGGTGGGGGAGGGGTGCGAGTGTCGGAGGAGGGTGAGGCTTCCTGATGCGCAGCGGAGGCACTTACGCCTTCTTGATGTCATCAGCGGACGCACTTCGCGGCACGTCTAGGATATCGTAGTAGGATGCCATGGCAACTCGTCAGTAGTCAGGCGAGCCTCCTTGGGGCTGCAGGAAGGAAGGAGGAATCAGGCAGAACGAACCAAGGGCCCCTCCCTGGGGCTGGAGAACCCCCCGGTGGCGGAAGGCCCTCCCGGGGGAAGCGGAACCCACTGGGCTCTCCTTGCGGCCGGTGACTAGGCTCCCCCGGGGAGCCTTATCGGCCCCCGCAGGCCGGTGCCACGGGCTATCTTGGTGCCCAGGCCCGGGGAGCCCTGTCGAAGTCCCTTAACTGCAGCAGCCCGGCCCAGGGCCCCCCAGCCTGACCGGGGTCCCCCGCCCGCACCTCCTTGGCCGGGAGTCCCTGGCCTCCTGCAGCGCCCCGCCCCTGCCCCCCGCCGGGAACCGTCTGGCACCGGCTGCCCGGCTCGCGGCTGCTGCGTAGGACGCGGCCGGCCCAGCTGTGCGCGCAAGCATGCGTCAGCGGCACGGAAACTACTAGAGACCCAGAGGCGACCGGCTCGGCCTGTCACCCGAGGGGCGGGGGGTGGAGGGGGTGCGGCTGCAGGGGCTGCCGGGAGATGGAGGCGGAGCCGGCTATTTTGGGCTTGCACCAGGATGACGTCGTCCTCAGATGGGACTTGGGAGACAGCCGCCGGGACCGTCCAGGCGTGGCGCACTCGCCAATAGCAAGCCACCTGACCCCTGGTCCCTCTGTCGCTTGCCTATAAACCGGCTCGATGATCGATGGTTACTCACCCCGGAGGAAATCGTCATATCAAGGACTCACAGACTCCCCTCTGGGCCTATATCCTCTCCCTTCCTCAGATCCCAGCTCCAGCCCCAGGTCCCCAAAAGACGCTGCCCGACTTCCCTGAGTAGGTCAGACCTGCCTCCTACAGCATCTCATGGCATCCTTCATCACACGTGTCAGAGCTACAAATTAGCCTTTATTTGTTTGATTATTTGATTGACATTCACCTGCCCCACTAGAATGTAAATTCCATGGGACAGAGATTGTGTCTTTTTTCTCGCTAGAGTATTAGGGCAGTCGTGGGATTCAAAAATATCCACTGGATGCTTAAATAATGAACAGATGCGAACCTCCTGTTGACAGCTTTGACATATTTGAGGGAAGGTGGGGTTAAAGGGTAAAAGGAAAAAAAAAGGAAAAGGAAATTCCCCATGTTCAAGGTTTTTCTTCCCAAAGTGATGAGTAGACCTCTTCCACCTCAAGATGATTCCTGGGTTCAGGCCTCAAGGGAGAGTTAGAGAACCTTCCAGAACTGGCTCCTGCTTGATATCATCCAGGTGAATCCACAAGCATTAATTGAGCATCTTCTACACAGTAGATGCTGCCAGGATGTAAAAAGAAGGATGAGGTCCAACCTCTGCCTTCACAGAGCTCCAACTTGACAAGATACCCGCCCATCAATAGAGCCCACAGGGAAACCCCAGGGCTTTGGAAACAAATAGACCCTGGCTTGCAACCTGGCACTACTGTGTGCCTTGGGAAAACTTCTGAGGACTCAGTTTTTCCTCCCTAAATACGGGTAACACCTAGGGCTGTTTGGAAGTCAAATGAGGCATGGTATACAGTAGGTCTCAGTACAGATCCTCTCTGGCATCATGACTGACCCAAGCAGTACCGGTTATGTGAGTCCAGAGAGAGTTTTAGGCTGGATGACCCAGAAACCTTTCACCAAGAGAAGGGCTTAAACCAAACAAGAGCGAAGAGGGTGGAGTGCATTTGTCGTTTTCCTGGCTGCGCACGGTCTGAGCTTCCTGCATGCATTTGGAGAATTCCCGTTGCGTAGGCCTTGATGGGAGGCAGGTCACTACCTGCCACAAAGCCCTGACGCTCGCTCTCCCAGACTTCTCGGCTCCAAGGTGCAGGCAAAAGACACAAGCTCTGCCAATGAGAAGCTCCAACTGGGACTTGGAATCTGGAGCAGGTCACAGAGAGGCAGGGGCAGGTGAGATCTCATTTCTGCGGTGCTGGCGGCGGAGCCAGCAGCGGCCTCTAGTGTCTGGAGGAGGAAATGTCAGCCTCAGTGCCTGGTGGGAGGGGGCCTCACTGCCGCGGGTGGAGGCGACAGGGGTCTTTTAGGCAGGCTGTCCTGTGCCCTGACCTTGACTATGGTGCTGGCTGCCCAGCTTCCCTTGGTGCCTACCTGTTTGTGAAGTCTTGTTTGTTGCCTGTTTGAATCAGCCTCGCATTGATTCTGTGTGCTACCCAATCTCTCTCCAATTGTGTGATTTTTCTTCTCTTTTGTTCTTTTTTTAATTTGCCAAAGTTAGTTTCTGTTGTTTACAACGAGAGTCCTGACTGGCCTTGGTATAAAAGGAAGGAATGGGTTAGGGTAGGTCACTCCAAAATCTTCCAGATCTATCTTTCTTCTTCTTGCTTCTGTTACCTCAACAGACACTTGTCTAGCACCTTCCATGTATGTGGTATTGTATTAAGAAAAGGAATACAAAGAGATTTAAGTTCCAGTCCCTGAACTCAAAGAGATGAAAATCTAGCTGGGACACTGACAAATGACAGCTGAGGGAAATTATATGGAACACATCTAGCAGACAACAGGTTAATTTCCTTTTCACAAAGAATTCCAACAAATTAGTAAGACATACAACGCAATTTTTTAAATGCACAAAAGGCACAGACAAGACAGTTCACAGAAGAGGAAATACTTGGTTTTAAATATATGAAAAGATGCTCAACATCATTCATAACAAGGGAATTATAAAGGAATGCTACAACAAAATACTTTGTTTCACTTAGATGATTGACAAGGATCAAAAAGTTTAATACATTGTATGGGCAAGGCTGTGGGCACAGGCATTCTCTCACATTGGCAGTGGGAGGGTAATTTGGTATAACTGCTAAAGAGAGCAATATGAGATATATCAGAATTAAAGGTGTATGGCCTTTGACCCAGCAATTCCAATTCTAATAATTTATGGTTGCACATATGTGCAAAGAGGTGGATACGAGGGTTACTGCATTCTTTTCAATAGCAAGGATTGGAAACAACCTAAAGACTATTACTAGCAGACTGGTTAAATAAGCAATAGTACACTATACGACGGAATATTATGTTGTCACCAAAAAGAATGAGGCATATTTATATGTACTGATATGGACCGTCTTCTAGATTTATTAAGTGAAAAGACAAGGTATAGAACAAAGTGTATCTAAATGTGTATATGTACATTTGTATATACTTAGATGTCTCTGGAAGGAAACACTAACAAAAAAGTTAACATTGGTGGCTGCGAAGAGGGGAACAAATGAAGAGGATTTATTTTTGCTGTATTGACTTGTTTTTGCTGTTTCTAAACTTCTTTGGTACCTTTTGAATTCTGAAGCATGTGCATGTAATAACTGTTCAAACACATACTTAATTTTTAAAAATCTAGTTAGGGAAATAGGATATTGGCGAGAAGCTAAGTGCGACCATACCAGGCAGTCTGTTGCCAAGTGCTGAATGAGTGATAGAGACAGACAGTAGGTGTCAGAAGAGCCTACAGGAGGGAGCGCTCCCCGGGGCTGGATGCGTGCTGGGTGACTGTGACCTAAGCTGGAAGGAATGGCAACTTTGAGAGGAGAAGGGGGCAGTGGTGTTCCAGAAGGAGGGGCTGGTGAGAGGGCAGCTTTGGAGGCAGGCCTGTTCCTGACACATCAGAGGCGAGGGAATAAATGTGTCGGGTAGAATCCAAGCTTGGGAATCTGTCTCTTGTGTCTGCCTGGAGGAGGTTATGGTACCCTGGCTTTAGAAATGTCAGAGATGAAAGTGTTGCCCCGCACTGAGGGAGTCCCCAGGAGCCAGGCTGGGTGGCGCTCCCAGCTGCTCTATGGAACTTTGGGTTCTTGCCTCCCCAAACCCACACCCAGTCCACTACGCCTGCCAGAACCTGCCAGTTACTAGCTGGGTGGGTTTGCAGGTTCTGAGAGGAGGTGGCCATGCACCTGCCCAGGGTGAGCTGGCTGGTACAGCAGACAGGAGGGAGCCTGGCCACTTCTCTGGATGCCCAGCCATCCTGGCAGGTAAAGACCTCACTTCTCTCTTGGCCCTCCCTTCTGGCCTCTCCCAAGCCCTCACCTCACCTCTTATGATGTCATGGGGTGGGGCCCTTTCCAGAGGGCACTGACTGCCCCAAAACCTGGCCCCAAAGATGCCTCTACTCTTGTTCAGCCACAGAAGCTGGGTCCCTGCATCCCCATACATGCCCTCCACCAGTGCCTGGGCAGGGGAGTGTCAAGTGTCGTCCCCTCCCTGCCTTCGAGGCACCTGAGTCACTCTCTGGACATTGGGAACCTGGCAGGCCCAGAAGAGGTGACATCTGGAGGGGTGCCTGGAACTGCTGTGGGCAGGAGGGAAGGGCCTCTGAGGAAGGGGAGGGCAGCAGCATAAGCTTTGGCCCAGGCGGACCTGGGTTTGAATCCGGATTCCTCCATTTACTAGCTTAGTAACCTTGGGCAACTCAGATAACTTCTCTGAGCCTCAGTCTCCATGTCTATAAAATGGGCATTCATTTAACAAGTCTATTCAACAAATATCTGGTGTCTGATATGTGTCAGGCAACATTGCAGGTGCTGAGACTAGAACAGGCCTTGTTCCCATGAGCTTCCAGTCCAGCGGGTATAACCATATTGACCTCAGGACTAAATAAGACAATATGGATAAGGGCCTAGTACACAGTAGATGCTCAATAAATGACATGAATTTCTTGGGGTTCGAAGGGCTCCCAAAAGAACCCCTCTTCCTTCACCAAGTTTAAAACCAGTTGAAAGAGAGAAAGACAAGAGTCAAATAAAGATTTGAAAGTCAGCCATTTTAATGGGGGGGAAAAAGTAGATTTGAGGATATAGCAGAGTTATTCAACTAAAGTGGGCTTCTAAATACTCCCTCTGAATTAAATTCCCTCTGAAACCACCAGACACACATATGTACAACTGCAGCCCTCTCCCTTCCCAGGACAGAGCTTCCCCCATAAGCGTAAATCCTCAAAGAACAGCTGAGAATACTTGCTCTCTCCAGGCAAATAATTCCAAAATAGGAGGGAACTGCTACACTGGGCATGCCTATTTTCTTCTCTAAACCCCCCACCATCCTGTTGCTTCCACTCCATCCTCTACTCATGACAATGTAATCATTGGGACAAGGGTGACAAGGACAGGTGAGGGGGACCAGACGGAGGGCAGGGGTCACTCCAGGCCCTGAATGGCATCCAGGTGCTAGATCTAGGTGTGGGTGTGTTTTTGATTCACCTGTTTTCTCTGAGATCCGTTCTTTCTCCTTCCCTGCCCTGCTCTATAGGGTAGAGCAGGCTGCACCCCCTTTTTCCTAGCTCCCCCCTTGCGAACTAGCTTCTGTGTAGGTTCAGACAATGGGAGCCACTGGCTGGACATGAGGGTGGGAGGAAGGGAGAACCAGGTGGCGCCTAAGGCAGTGGCTGTGTCTCCTCCATGGCTCTGAATCCTGCCAAATGTCCCTCCTTCCTTGGTCCCTCCTGCTCCCTCTGGGTAGCTCTGCTGTGGCTCCAG